CCGTGTATTTTCGCGTGCTCAGGTGAGGCTTTATCACCTCAGGTCACATGTCCCGAACGACTTGAGGCTGTAACTGATTGTTGGTGCTTTATGCGTTTTTTTTTCGATATTCCTGTGCCGTTTCATTTGTTTTGATATTTTTAACTCGAAACAAATTAAAACACAACATTGAAGAACATAATGTATAATTTTTGGATCCGTTGCACAGGTCCTGTTGAAGATGCGCCTTGGCATGTTTTCACTGCTGGATTCATTCTGGTGGACAAAAAACACATGCTGTCACTCTGCCACCTGACTGGATTGATTTTTTGACATGTCAGGGCAGATGAGTTCAAACCTTAGCACGCAGCCCTGCGCCGTTGCACGCCAACGAACTTTGGTTTGCACAGTATTTTCAGTTGCCCTGGTCTCCAGGCACCAAGATGGGACAGGGAGGTATGTGGCACTGTATGACTTTGACCCTTCAGTCCGGATGCTCGAATTTGTAGGCTTAAAACTTCTGGAACCAATAGCATTTGGCATTTGTGCATGATGAATTTCCACCAAAGTCACATTTGAAGTGCTGTAGAAAAAACACAATTGTTCAGGAAAATGAGTCGAATGTTTGTATTCGGCAAAACCTAGAACCAATGTGACTCTTATTAAAAACTTCAGGAACAAGTCTTGTACGTCATTCCAGCAACGGCAAAATGCAGAGGAATTGTGTTGATTGGGGAGAATATGGGATACTAAGCATACACACCTGAGCATCTGAGTCTCACAGATGAAAATGTGCGTCCCAAAAAACCACAGGCTAAATATTGAAGAAAAATATAGCAAACCTCCACCCAGGTCATTGACTGGCAGTTCCCGCACCAACCTCAGAATCAAACATTGCCGCAATGTCCGAACAGCTGGCGCTGGCTGAGTTGAGTTGGCTCCCGAGGAACCAATCTCCATTGCCCTTGAAGGTTGGCAATGTGGTGGAAGTTCTGCATGACGGAGGAACTGGATGGGTGCCCCTTCGAGTGTGAAATATGCCGAAAATCAGACCAGCAATCCCTTCCCTCCGATATCATATCATATATATATATATTATACATGATTATACATATCATATATTGATTGAATACCCACCCAGAAACCCTGGCTTGGCTGAAGTGAGTGAGCTTAACATTCTTTTCCTTGGTCGGCCCTGAAAGGTACCTTTGCATTCCTTTACATTCCTTTGTATTTTCTGTATTTTTGCTCGTTTGCACGGTCAAGAGGAGCACTGTATCATTCCTAGCCAGAATGGTGCCAAGCAGTCGCTGAACTCTGGCTTAGTAATTATTGGATCATATTGGATCTATATATTCATTTTTTCGCCCTTAGTACAAGGTTATTCGATATTGGGGGTGTGTACACAGTACTACATTACCTTCAACATCTGGCTAGACCTGTCAATAGGACTCTTCTTTGGAGTGACTCACTTTTCTCATGAGGTATATGGCCACTTAGTTGGAGCACCAGAGAGCAAGGGTTTCTTCCCGTTGAATTACACAGCGACAAGGGCTCAGCTTTGACCGAGCATTGTCGCAGTGGGAGTTCGACACGAAAGAAGATACTCAAGTGGGTGTGTCGGAAAATGTGGTATGGCTGCCAAATCGCCATTTTTATAGGATAATTGATGATCAACCAATGGACGACTGCACCCTATTTTCAGACACGTCCAAGTGTTGTTTGAACATTTTCTTTGCCCTAGTGTCGTTCTTGGATTTTCAACACGAGATTCGTGGCGTTCGTGTATACAAAGCCCATGGCAGCCATGAGGCCCATGGAAGAATACTTGCGTGAAATGGAGCGCTTGAGGGCCACGAATCCAGGGGCTGCCCATGACTCAAAGGACAGTTGAGAGACTTGCAAAACGATCTTCTGATCCAATGCTTGTTTCAAGGTTGATGCCTTGCAGCCAAATTCTTAGGGGACTCGGGACGTGGGGAAAACAATGGAGGCTGATAGCAAGTAGCCCCGTGACAGCATCAAATTCAACAGCAAAACCTGGCTTGAGGCTTGAGGGTGGAGCTGGGAGGCAGTTTGCTCGTGACCCCAGATGGCACATTCGACATTTGAAGATTTCCCTGCTCTTGAACACAAGCACTGCTACAGGGAAGCTGTTGTAATTTGTCACAGGCATGACGTCTTTGAAATGCTTTGAAGACAGCCTGATCAAACCAGAAGGCAACAGACTTACGGGGCAAAAATCGAGAAACTGATGGATTTGAATAAGTTCCGAACCTTCGCTACACATTTTTACATTTGTTCCTGGTTGCATTCTTGAAATCCTTTACTTGCTTATGAAAATTATGGGACGTGTAATTGCTGAAGTAGGGCGCCAACTGTGAATCCTTTGGCGCCAAGGCAAACTAAACGAAATCTATTGGGATTATCAGCCATTTTGGGGTATCCCGGATATCCAATCCCCCAGAAATGGGGACCCATGACAGAGCCATGTAGCTACCTTTGAGCTCAGTGCCGTTCAATGGCGATCTGCGAGCAGCGTTCCCCTTTGGGCGGCTTTGGAATTTTCGCTGCCAAAGATTTCTTGCCGGGTGACGAGGTGCCTCTAGCTTCATGTTGTGAGCTTGAGGTGGTCTTTTGGTTGTGAAAAAGAACAACCAATTTTGATTCTCAACATACACATTGTGCTTGTTCAAACATGTTCGAAGCTCTGTTTTGGTTGAACACATCCTGAGCATTCCTGAGTCTGGTTCTTCAACATCCCCAGTTTGGGCATGTTTTTCTCCGGCTCCAAGCTCTCCACCAGGTCTTTATGGAGGAACACTTGGCGCGTTTGGACCCTAGTGCCCTAGTGGACCCTAGTTGGGTGACTTTTGATTGAGGGACCCCATTTTGTTCCAGCAAGACGGCAGTTTTGACTGCTGATAATCAAGCCAAGGGCTGGATACAACGAAAGCTTTGGATGAGCAGGATAAGCTTTCCTTGAAGGACAAATTTGACCTGTCATTTGCCTGCAAGGATTCGTGTGGTTGAGTACATTTTCTGGGGCTGTCAACGGGCAGGGCTGTCAAACTGTGTGTATATACGTATAAATATATGTATGTATATATTATATGTATGTCAGAGTTCTCTTCTTGACGCTGCTCCCGCAACAATCCGTTGACGGCGACAGCGGCAGGCATTCCCAAGGTTCCTCCTTCCAGGGACGAATCTAATGATTCGCAGTTTGAAACTTTGGATGCTGAAGTCTGGGTTCAATTTCCTTACAGTTTTCCTACGTCACCACGATGGGGGATGCAGATTGGTCCTGACACTTGTTGTTCTCGACAAGTCAAGGTTTGCTTTTTTTTGCTGAACTCAATTCATGCGGTTAAGATTTAACTGCAGCTAGATCCCATACCCCATGCAACTTGATAGGCGGAAGCAGTTTTGTTTTCAAATGAGTTTTTTCCGATGGCCCAGGTTAGCCCTGGACAGCGACGGGCAGACCCTGCAGGCCCTTCGTGAGCATTCCTTTTTTCGTGGACCACCTGATGCCTTGGGAGAGGAGAATTTCTGCACCAGAGGGATGAGCTCAGCTAACTGCTGATTGAATCTGGAAATATTTGGAATGGCCTCCGAAAAAACCACTTGCTGTACCAAATTGATACCAGGTTGAATTGGAAGTTTGAATGAGACCTTGATATATCAAATATATGGATCCCAACTTCCAGATCTTCCAGCAACCAGTTCAAAACGTTCATCGCTTCGATCCGGAGAAGGCTTAGATCCCCGTTGGTTATTGAAATTCGCATCTTGGGTGGTCAACTTTCACTTTCTTTGGGAGAAGTTTTTGTGCACATGGTCGGCGACGTTGGATCCGCATTTTTTGAGTCACATTCCATTTTTGGGCGCTCAACTCACAACCTTTGGTCATTTCACATGATTTCACATGGCTATGGAACATCACCATCACCATGTTTCATAGCTTAATTATCTACACAGTAAGCCATTTCCCATAGCTACCTGGGCCATTGCGGAGGAGCGGCGAGCTGCCTTTGACCGCTGGGCCATGGATACCTGGCCGGAAGCCAAAGCGGAGCATCAGGTGACGGCATAGCCCTGGCTGATGAAGCGGGTAGAAGGCCATGGCTCAAAAAGACAGAAAAGTCAAATCCCACGAAAATAGTGGTAGACTATATATATGTATGTATATATATATATATGTATATACAGTGTATATATATATATTGTTTTACTATAATAGTGGACTCATCATGAGTTATCATTGATAAATGGGATGTTAATGGCGATGGGATGTTAATGGCGTGATTATGGATGAATGGGAGTAGCACAGGCCTATACCTTGTGAGATTGGAATCATCGCCGGACTTGACTTGAGTATTAGCAACTCATTTCTATCGGTGCAACAAGTAGAGAAACTCATGACTTACATATTCAACATATGCGTAAGTCGCTTAGTAAAGCATGGTGTCTGGTGGGATGTATATGTAAATATTACCTATAATTAAATAATACTTCAGCATCCGCATCTAGCGAAGGTGGCAATGGCTGAAGCAATGACCATCATGTCGTGCGCGCAGGGGTCGCAGGGGGTGACATCACAGCATTCGACAATTGCAGATAAAACACGGGACAAAGATGCCTGACAAACATTGACAAGTTAAAATGCATCAACGAAATTACTGCTCTGGTGCTCTCTTGCTTTGGTTTTGGAATGTTTTTGACTTGATTTGCTGAAATCAGCGACTTCAGCTGGAGGTACAACTCCTACAGCTGTGGCAGCGGCAGTGATGGCCAGTTGCTATACCCGACCATTTCGAAAGTGAACCATTCGTGCACAGCCAATGCGACTACGATCACAAACGAGGCGCAAGGGGTCGTCATGGATATGAGGGATATTGGAATAACGGCAACAGTTTTTGTATGATTTGATTGTAAAAAAAAGTGTTTTGATTGGTTTTGACCCAAGACCCATGTGTTGAATTGCAGAAGCTTTCTATGTCTGACAGCTGTTCAGAGATTTTGTGACACCCTGCCATGGGTGATTGAGCTAGGCATAGCTAGGCATTGGGCAGGTCCATTTTGTGACAACTCCCCCAGGACTGCGGACAGTTGATTTGTCTTCTACCCATTTCTGCGGGTGAAGAGATTTTCTCGAGCTATCTCTCTGATGTGGATCTGATTCGGCCAATTCAACAGCGTTGCCAAGCTGCACCTTGTGCAACAGAAATCCGAAGTAGTCTGGCAGCCAGGCCACAACTGGATTTACCCTCTGGGAATTCAACATAGCACTGGAAAACAGACCTTTTATAGATGGTTTACCTTCTAAACATTGCCATTTTCCATGGCAATGAAAAGTTACCACCGGATTTACCGCTTTTGCAACTTGAGGCCGAGAGATTTTGTCAAAAGGATGGGACTTTCAATGCAGCTGCCCTCGTTGTGAGGCTCTAAAGGACTGCTTGGGGAAGCGCAACTGATGGTGAAGAACCTCTGACGGGTTAAACATTTTGTTGGTGCAGCCCTAAACAGCTGATGTTTCTCCTGGAAAAATCAATCGAGAACTTGGAGATTTTGAAACAAATCCATCCTATCCCTGGGATGATAACAATATTGAGTAATATCATCCCCATAATCTTCAACACACCCCATAGCTGGGGTCACAAGATTCGTGTAAAACCGCCATGGTTTTGGGGCGGTTGAAACCACCAGCGCCAGCCTTTTTTTAGGACGACACGCGGCGCTTCAGCTGCCATGCCTTGCGCAGTCCACCGGAGCCGTGTGAGGAGCAGCCCGAGGAGATCGGGGCCATCCGGAAATTGATGAGGTTTACACCGCCGGATCCAGAAGACTCTGAAGTGCTCGCCAAGTGTCATGTTTTTCTTTGTGCTTGATTCCCACTCTTTGCAAGTTGAAGAGAAGACAGCACATGGTGGTTGTGTTGGAAGCCACTTTTCAGTCTGACTATATGGATTTGAAAGAAACATGTTGAGTACTGGACATGCTGATCACTTCCAGGAGCTGAAGAGTGAGCACCTTGGCTCTCAACAGCAATAATTATTTGACTTACTGTATCTCACCAGTAGTGAGGAGACAGACGCCCCTCATCTGTACTATGGGTCTTCCATAGTTCTGATAGAACTTCAGATAGGGGACAGATCTCTTTAAAACAGCATCGCGACCAACATTGAACAAAATCCAAGGTGCTTCATGAGGCTACTGTTTGGGATAAACCCTGCTAAGCTACGTTTCGGTTGCCCTCCCGTCTAGTTTTAAGTTAGACAACTTGACTTTGGCTGCACCCCTTCCAATTCAGGTGTGCTGGGGCCTGCCTAACATCTAATGGAGCGCTTCCGCTGCATCTACTTTTTCCTGTTGTCAAATTGAAGAGCAAAGGTTGGAATGTCCAATTGTCCATTACAGGCCAGATTGAACTAAATAGATGTGACTCTTGTGGTGATGAGGGTGGAATCCAAGAGGTATTGAGATTGATTTAACATCGTGCTTGTTTTAGGTGCTTCTCCCTTGCGACTGCTGCGGTTTTTGTCCGAGTGAGAGCTCGTGGCTTCAGCGAGAGGAGGACCGAAGGAAATGATGTAGTTTACATATACGAGATGAAAGTGCATTTGGTGTCATGATCAAACACACGTTGCATTTGCCAGTGTGCCAAAGTAAGAGACAGACTGATGCGAGCTCAGAACAAGACTGGAGGAACTTTCATTCAATAATGCATTGTCGTTGCTACAACCCATGAATGTGTAGCAGGGCTCTAGTTTGGATTTGGAACAATAAAGAATGCAGTTGACAAAGCGAAAGACTGCGAAACAGTGACGGCAACAAGATGAGATGCTTGCACTGTATCGGTAGAATTTGGTATATAGATGATTTGTAAATGATAAAGACTGGAAGCTTGCCTTGCCATACAATCCTATTCCCCGTGCAATATTCAATTGCCTCTTATATAATCGAGGGCAATGCATACATCCAACATTCATGACCAGAGAGCAAAGGTTTATTTTTCTTAACTTAGTTCATGGCCCTTTTTGGTGCCAGGAGGGGGAGGAACTGCTAGAGGCAAGTGGGGGATTGGTTATTTTGCTGCATGTTGGGATGCAACATGATACGAGCAACACTGGCCATAGCAGGAACACTTTCCCCTTAGCAGGGATGATGATGCCAATTGGCTTTCACATTTTTTGGGACGGCTCAACTCCCAAGCAGATTGAGGGAATGTCTAATGTCCAGGGGAAATGTGAAGAATTTCAAGACGTGCAGAGTTTAGATAGGAAGGAGCATACAAAGTGCTTGACGTGGAAAGCTGCAAACTTTGCAGCATTGGATTGTGAGTCGTTGAGGGATATGGGTCTGGTATGAGTGGGAAATGTGGGAGTGTTGAACAACTCCATGATCTTCCCTTCTGTGCTTCTTTGCGCCAACGGTTTTTTGATGTAGGCATTACCAGAAGGGAAACTCGGCTTGCACTTCTTTCCAGGTGCTTTGGGATTTGAACCGTGTGTTTGAATTTGTTCAAATGGGGCCTTTAATTTCTCGCCAAGCTTAGGATGTACACTGCCTGGGCCAAGATGGAAGAGTGACTTGTCTGGAAGTTTGGGGGGGATGGTTTCGGGGATGGTTTCTTGGTTTATAAACAGACATCAATTATCATCAATTCAACTATCGATACATCTACTATAAGATCTATAAGTAAGAATTTGAAGGCCTTAAAGTTAACATAGTCAACTCAAGCAACTCAACTTGGTCCATTGGGCAGGGATGTCTTGTCTCCCGAGGTTTGCAGCTGCACATCCTTTGCATGGCCTATCTGGACGCTGGAAGAAGCCGCTCAGTTCCCAACATCTTTGGCCAATCCTCCTGGCGTTCCAGGAAGGTTGGCGGATGATAACCAGGCACTGGGGGAGCGGAATTTCGCAACTTGAGGCATTTGGCCTACCACACCGAGAAGGAGCTCAATGAAGCTGAACCTGACGAGGACAGGGCGTGCTGTTTTTTGCTCCTGGGATTGGAAGCAAGATAAACGTGGGAGGTTCATCGACTGCCTTGACAACCTACTGACCGTATCTGACCGTAGTGTAAAACAATAACAAAATTGGACAATTGGAAAAATTGGGGCCATGTTCAACACCTCAGCTGCCAGGTGTCGGAGCTAACAGAGGATTTGAGCAAGTACTGGAGCCAACACTGGAGGCGAAACGAGCAACACTTGGTGGTAAGAAGAGATTCCATCCAGGATCGAACAGAAAGATCATCAAGATTCATCAAGTAGTAAAAAGCTATAATTCCTAAACCTGACCCTTCCCCTTCTCTACATTTCGCGATGCCTGACAGAAACGGCCCAAAAAGGTGCCTTGCCGCCCTCTTGCCCGAGCGTGGTGAAGGCCAGCGCAGGAATTTTGGGCAGCCCAAGACTATGTGTAGATCTGCATGCATCTGAATATAATTGATTGCATACGAAAATGATCGAAAATGCATATGTCAAATGTGTCAAATGTGTAAACTAAGCGATGATATATGTAGAACAATGTAGAATGTAGATATGTGTGTGTTTGCAATCTCTATCATTGGGATGATCCTCATCTTCAGAGGACTCAGAAGCCGTGCAAACTCGCCGCCCAGGTGGTGTCGTCGCGGCACATTACCGGAGAGCGGTAGACAAAAACAGAGGGGGCACTCTGGGGGCCATTTCTGTTTGCGCAAGAACTTGAGAGGCAAACATGTTTCAGACAAGCCTAGTTACTATAGTTGAGTTGTTACAACATCTTTGGTAAAGCAAGTTGCATCATTTCCAATTTGTCATTTTATGTCATTTTGGCCAGTTCCAAGTCTTCCAGATTCACAAGCGCCGCCATGTCCAGCGGATGCCGAGGAAGCTGATACCATGATCGTCCAGATCCCGGATGGCGCCAAAGCTGGAGATGAGCTGACCATCACCACCAACCAAGGGCAGGACTGCATTCTCAGCTGTTGCCAGCAGTTTTTTGTTGCCCTTGTTTTCCCATCCATAAAAAAATAGATGTCAATTTAGATGTTGTCATCAGGTCATCAGCAAATCTCTGGTCATCTTTGATTTCTTGTGTCATTTGAATTCATTTGATGTATTTATTCTGTTTATTGTCATTGTCTATTGTTGTTGTGGTATTTTTTTTGCCATAGCTGTGAAGTCACAACAACAACAATAAACAATGAACAACAATAACCTCTGGTAATTTAACATAGCTATTGAACATGACCATAGAAATAGTGGATTTTCCCATTCATCATGGTGGATCTTTCCATAGTTTTTTGTATGTTTACCAGAGGGTAGCTGTGATGGCCTCCTGGGATGCCTGGGATGTCAGGAACTGACGGTGACCATCCCAGAGGGTGCCGTTGCTGGCGAAGACCTTGAGATCCCGGTGCCCATGGTGCCCAGGTCACGGCAGGCCGCGTTTAGTGCTGGGGGTGCCGGTTCGGCTACGTGGGGAGCCATTCGTTTCGAAGCAAAAAAGTGACCGTTTTTGGATTTTTGTTGGGCGAAAAATGGGATTTTTAGCCTCAATTTTTTGTGGATTTTTCATGATTTTTAGATCTTGTGGATGTTTCAAATGGAAGACTTGGAGATTGCACAAAAGCCCAAACAAAAAGAGCCTCTGGCAGGCAGCGGTCAGCAAGGGAACGGTCATCATCTCAGTGAACTGGTGAGCAATACTAGGCTGACTCCTGTTGATAGTCAAAAAAAGTACAATATACATAATAGGCACTGCATGTATACATATATTATATATATACATATATGTATAGTATGTATATATATATATTGTAAATCTAAGTATACAGTATAATGAAGTCCTCCCAGAAGGCAGCCTTAAAAGCAAGGTACGCTATCCAGATTCTATTAATGAAGGCCTTCCAGCCAGATATTTCTCAGGTCGAGTCTAGCCTTGGAGAGCCGGTGGGGTTCTCAACTTTTTCGGTGAACATGTGGCTCCGAAAAGTCGTTTTTTTTCTTCCTTTTTTCCCCAGAAATGCTTTGCCTGTTTGCTAAGTCCGATAATGACCGACTAGCACACTTGGCGCTTGTGGCTCTGGCTGAATCGATTTTGGACGGTGGTATGGCAAGCCCATTTGGTGTGGGTGCAGTTTATGGTTCCAAGCATCACCAGGACCTTGACCAATACGTTTCACAGTGGATGTACCCTTTTGGTTGCCAGGCGGGCTATCCTGCATTATCTGCGGAAGCGTGCCCCACCAAGACACCGGGCTTTCTGCGGCATCATTTGAATGGAGAAAAAAGTATATAGATGAATCCATTGAAATGCAAAGAGTGATTTCAGATAAGACACTAGCTCAGGATTATGTATTTATTCCGATGGGAGGGCAAGAAACCAACAGTATCAAACCATTCTTGGCACCCTAGTTTAAGGCGCACGCGGTGATTGACCATGTTGAGTCGTGCTGGATCGCTCAGGCCACAAGCCAGTGCCTATCAACTGTCTAGGCGAGGATGGTTTTGAAGACTACAAAGAATCGAAGAACATGATGACCACGACGATGTGGATGTGGATGTGGATGTGGATGTGGATGTGGATGTGGATGTGGATGTGGATGATGATGATGATGATGATGATGATGATGATGATGATGGTCATGATGATGGTCATGATGATGGTTATGGTGTGACATCATTGGATGGGACGTAAACAAAAGAATGCGGACGACATCAATCTTTCTTTCTTTGTACCACTGTATTATATATATATATATGTTCTTCATTAATCAATTTCATCATTCCTTCCTTCATTCCTTCCTTCCTTCTTTTCTTCCTTTCTTCCTTTCTTTTCTTCCTTTCTTCCTTTCTTCCTTACTTCCTTTCTTTATTCTTTATTCTTTCTTTCTTTATACCGCTTCCAGTGCCTTGGTAGCAATTGGTACACTTTTGATCCTTTTGTCCAGATTCAGACTGCCTCTCAATCTGCCCGTCTACTTTGGTGGCTTCGTAGATGTAGACCACACAGGCCATAAACCAGAAGTAGCAACACAGTGAATATTATTGTTCAAAAAACAGATGCACATTTTTGTTTTTCAAGACTGTTGCCGCATCTGTGCGCCACAGTTTACTTGAAGTATCACAGGAAAACTGCTGGATTGAACAAAGACGTCATGCCACAAAGATGTAGAACACATTCGGCTCAGGCCGTCTGCGATGCCAGCATTCCCTCCAACTTCTGAGGGTGGGCTGGAAACTCAGGATGGTCACCAATCTGATTGCCAGTATCTCAGAACTAAATTTCTAATGGAAAGCCATTATTACTGCCTCGAACATCTTGCGGATCCTCAACTGTCAGTTCAGGTGGCTTTGTCTGATGGGGTTTTTGAACCCCGTTGGCCATGCCATATTTCAACGTTAAATTTTCTCATAGGAATTGCGAGGAACATATTGGGGTAAATTCCCCTCGTTGTTGGACTTAAAAGACTTAAAACCACATCATATTGTCGTTTTTACATCCCATTAATGTTATATTTCCTCCTAACCGTATTTTCGTTGGTTTCGTAACTTTTTTTTTGGTTTAATTCCCAGAATCGATTGAAGAAAAATTGTGCAGGAAAGAACTCAATTTGCTGGTAAAATATGGAAACTGGGAAGTTCCCAACAGCAGACTTGTTGGGTTTCAATCTCTGGGTCTGGGACTTGTGCATCATGGATGCAAGCGACTACTGTACCAGAATGGAACCCCGGAACGCTGCGGTTGGATTGCAAAGCTGGGCTGATGATAGATTATATCATATCTCATGATATCATTATATCTTTGGTGTTCCCATTTTGGTTTGTTTCATTCCCAATGTATCCACCCACCGTTCAGGAGATAGCCAATTGTCTCAGGCCATCTGCACCGGAGACCACCGATATGATGCAGGCGAGACAGGAAGTGGAGGCAGAGCTTCGCGCACGTCAGGTGCGGGCGGTTTGGACTGTTTTCCGGGAGGTCTGGGAGGGCTTGGGATCAGATTTGGTCAACAACTGAGGGTTAAAAACGATAAAAAACATCTAAAATCCATATCATTTTTGGAGATTGAATATAACTATATATTCTATATAACATATTTTGGGGATCAAGATTATTGGACCCCACCATGGATGGATTGATCCCAAAATATAAAAACATGGTGGGTTCATGAGTACCTCATTTGTGATCCATAGCTAGGATAGCCAGGTGAACTGACCGATATTGCCTAAAAAGTGGGTACCAAGGCCAAGGACCCAGGTTGCTAGTTGTTGCAATTACACATCCACTTAATTTCTCTTTCCAAACATCTTTTGAACCAGAGGCATTTCGAGGTTGATCCTTAAACTTTTGCTGCAACAGAACCAGGCGTAGCGACGCTCTCCTGTTGCTACTTCTTGACAATTGCAAATGGGCCCCAAGGATGGCGAAACCACTACTGTATTCGACACCAAACGCCATCCCTGCAGACCGCCATGGATGCAGTGGGAAGAGGTGGCGATTCTGGAGTTTCGCCAGCAGCCCAGCTTTCGTCTTGAAATCATTCAAACGAAAGACGCTTTCTGCGTTTCCGTTGCTAGGGTTCAACCCTCATAGAAGATACAATAATACAGTATATTATATATATACACTTACATTATAAACCTCTCTTGATGATTGTTGATTCGTGATTCTACCATCATTTGAGGGGCAACATATACACAGACATATATACAAAATATACAAATATATAATATACACATCACATGTAACTACGTAGCTGGATGATTGAAGTCCATATCAGCCACGCGTGTTTTGGAGGACACCAGAAACCCAGCTGGGCATCAAGAAGGCTCCGCTATGGGAAACCAGCGGTTCTCTGGGGTGTTTGATAGGGGAAACGAGTACTGGGATGTACTGCGCAACTATTCTCCCCATTTAGTTAAAGTCCAAATTGCTGGGGGATTCGTTCTTGCATTTCGGAGGAAAAGAAAGACTTTCAACACACAATTAATCAATAATCAATAATGACTTATCCATGTTATGGCCAATCTTTGATGGTTCATTATATCAAATTATATGCCAATTATATCCCCACTGTATCCATCGAGCAATTTCATGGGGAAGATGATAATCCATTGGGTTTTTCCCTTTCAGACACACCCTGACAGCGGTCACCGGTTCGAGAAACAGATTCCTGTCAAAACTGACGTTCCAGGATCGTGACTTTGTGCGCCGGAACCTGCCCATGAACTTGCAGCAGGGTCACCCAGATGATTTCATACCACCGGGTACTACTGGGTACCACCGGGTAGGTGGCCAAGGGTAAACCGGCGGTATAACCATGGGATTATAACTCCCATGATCCCCAAAACTAGGGTTAAATATCTACTTACAACTGGAACTGTACCCCCAAGTATCGGCCTGTATCCCTACTCTACTGTTTTTCCGTGAGTCTTGTGTGTGCTAGCAAGCACACTTTTTAGATCTTCGTGGTCTACCTTAGCAATTTGTTAGTTTAGGTGCTACCAGTAGGAGGTGACCCTGATACACATAGGACTCACCCTGCTATTTCCAAGTCCAGATGGTCGTTTCTTGGAGATTCGACACATTGATGCGACTGGAGGCAGCAGTACCTGCGAAGAGTTTCAGTCTTGCAGGACATCGTCAATAAGAATGTCAAGGCACCTTCTGTGATGATCTGTGATGGCTTCCTTTACGCATTGACAGTATTTCCTGCCATGACGCTTCCAGCTAGGCCACCTTATCCAAGTCTGAAATAGATGAGTTCCGTTCAAAAGCATTGTTTGTTGATCATGTGGGATTCTTCTACCTGATATGTTGGGGATTCTCAGAATCACAATCCATGGTGGGAATCCCCGACTGAACTTCAGCAGGACATGGCTTCCCAAAGGGCTTGACTCATCAGGTCCCAACCTTGCACAAGCAGCTCTACACGGAGGACGCTCGCGATTAAAGACCCAAATTTCCATCGGGTTATCCACATTATCCACATGGATGTGGGTAAAATTTGCCCATTGATGTGCAACATGGAGTAACTATGGTTTTTTCCCAAACACAGTTCTCCGGATTCACCAGACATTGGGGTTTCTGCGCAGGACCTGCGCGTGCGCGCTGCCACCATTCGGATGTCTTATGGCATGGAGCCGCCACATTTCTGCTGGAAAGCCCAGTTGAACTCCAATCAACTTCTGTATCTTCCTACTTCTGTGGAGCCAATATGCACACATGATATATGTAAGTATATAGATACGGCTATAAATGTATATGATACATATATAATGAAATGCATAGGTGTGGATAATCAATAATATGTATATATATATATATGTATAGACACGGTATATATATATACATATATATATATACATAGTATATATATAATGTATCTGGTATGTATATATTGTCGAAGGAAATTTTGAAGGCAAACTTCCGACTTATGGACAGATGCAGCAACAGTGGTGTGAGTAGTCAGAAAAGAGAAAGAGTCAGAAGGGAAAGAGTCAGTAGAAAGAAGCTCAAGGTGCACGAAAAGCGAAACACTTTTTCAAATGATTTGTGGCTCCAGAGGGTCGAAAAGTAGGCTCGCTAAAGCGGCGGGTGCGGAGCCAGCTGGCCAGATGAAAAATTGCACGCCGTTGTGGTGCGAAGCACATTTCCAAGTCAAAATGTAAAAAACACCAGCTCCGGACCACTTTTGGAAGTTGAGATGTCGAAAAAGTTCACAGCGTTGTGGCGCGAAGCACACTTTGAAGTTAAAAGTGTTAAAGCTGACGGTCTCGGACCATTTTTGGGAGTTGAGAGTTGAGATGGCGAAAAAGTGCACGCCGTTGTGGCGCAAAGCACATTTTGAAGTAAACATTGTTAAAGGCACCACATGTTCGGACCACTCTTGGACGTTCAACTGGCATTTTCTGTGGCAGGTGTAAGGAATTCTGCACCTTGTCAAAAGTGAGCAAAACGTGAGGGTTTTGTAGCAGATTGAAAAACGTTGGCAGGCGTGGGACGTTTGAAGGGGACCTGGAGCACACTACACTACATTACACCACACTATACACTACACTACACTACATTATACTACGCTACAATGGCCGCTAGCACTGCAGCTACAACTACGACAACATCTGCGCTACAACTACAACTGCAACTACAACTGCAGCTGCAGCTGCAACTCAACTACACTACACTAGACTACAGCTACGCTACGCTACACTACACTAGATTACCCTGCACTAAACTACACTGCACTACGCTACAGCTGAAATTATAAGTACAACTACAACTACACTATATACACTACACTGCAATTACAACTGCAACTACAACCACGCATCAACACAACTGCAACTACACTACAGATAGATAGATAGACAGATAGATAGAGAGAGGGAGAGATAGAGAGACACAGAGAAGGTGACAAAGAGAGTTAGATAGAGAGAGAGAGTCAGCCACCTTTCAGTCCATCAGTTGTTTCGCTCTGCTATCCATGCATCCCAACAATTCATATCTCCTATGGGTCGCCCATCTTCGAAACTTCCGCCACCACCTTGTCCGGTACTACTTGTATGTAGAAAATTACTTTACTTCGTGTGATCCCCACCATGACATTTATACATTTTCTTACTGGCAAATCTTCTGGCATTCTATCTGACATATCTTCTGACAATCTATTTGGCATTCTATCTGGCATATCTTCTGGCATATGTTCTGGCATATCTTCTGGCATATCTTCTGGTTCTATCTGGCATTCTATTTGGCATTCTATCTGGCATATCTTCTGGCATTCTATCTGACATATCTTCTAGCATTCTATCTGGCATTCTATCTGGCATATCTTCTGGCATATATTCTGACATATCTTCTGGCATTCTATCTGACATATCTTCTGGCATATATTCTGACATATCTTCGGGCATATCTTTGGCATTCTATCTGGCATATCTTCTGGCATATCTTCTGGCATTCTATCTGACATATCTTCTGACATTCTATTTGGCATTCTATCTGGCATATCTTCTGGCATATCTTCTGGCATTCTATCTGGCAAATCTTCTGGTATTCTATCTGGCATATCTTCTGGCATATTACCTTTTACCTGGCGATTCTTCTGATCTGGAAAATATCTTCCTGACATATCTATCTTCTGAGGCTTCTTCTGGCATTCTATCTGGCATATCTTCTGGCATTCTATCTGACATATCTTCTAGCATTCTATCTGGCATTCTATCTGGCATATCTTCTGGCATATATTCTGACATATCTTCTGGCATTCTATCTGACATATCTTCTGGCATATATTCTGACATATCTTCTGGCATATCTTCTGGCATATCTTCTGGCATATCTTCTGACATATCTTTCTGGCATATCTTCTGGCATATATTCTGACATATCTTCTGGCATATCTTCTGGCATATCTTCTGGCATATCTTCTGACATATCTATCTGGCATATCTTCTGGCATATTTTCTGGCATTCTATCTGGCAAATCTTCTGGCATTCTATCTGTCATTCTATCTGGCATATCTTCTGGCATATTATCTGGCATTCTATCTGGCATATCTTCTGGCATATCTTCTGGCATATCTTCTGACATTCTTTCTGACATTCTTTCTAACTTTCTTCTGCACATTCTTTGTCCCATATCTTCCTACATGAGGTCCGGCAGGGAACCCTTGGCGTGGATACTCGCGGTTGAGGTCCGGCAGGGAACACTGGGCGTGGATGGTCGTGGTTGAGGTCCGGCAGGGAACACTGGGCGGGGATGGTCGTGGTTGAGGTCCGGCAGGGAACACTGGGCGTGGATGGTCGTGGTTGAGGTCCGGCAGGGAACACTGGGCGGGGATGGTCGTGGTTGAGGTCCGACAGAGAACACTGTGGATCGCGGGTCGCAGTTGGACGAGGAGGACGGCGAGGAGGACGACGAGGAGGACGGCGAGGAGGACGACGAGGAGGACGACGAGCAGGACGACGAGGAGGCGAGGAGGAGAGGAGGAGGAGGACGAGGCAGGAGGCAGGAGGAGGCAGGAGGAGGCAACTGACATAAAATCTAACAACCCTCACCTGGCAGGTGGGGAAATACGTATATTTATATGTTTAATACGGCAACTATATGGACATATAATATGTATATAAACATATGTATTGGATAAGGTGTACATACATATACAAACTGTATATACAGTAAATATGGCATATACATATGTACAGGCATACATACATACATACATGCATGCATGCATGCATGCATGCATACATACATATGTACGTACGTACGTATGTACGTACGTTCGTGCGTCCATAAATGCATGCATGCATGCATGCATACATACATGCATACATACATATATACATATATATAAATATATACATACATACATGCATACATACATACATACATAGATACATAGATGCATAGATGCATAGATACATAGATACATAAATAGATACATACATACATACATACAGACATACATACATACAGACATACAGACATACAGGCATACAGGCATACACACACATATAGACATGCACACATGCACACATGCACACATCCATGCATGCATGCATGCATCCATCCATGCGTACATACATGAATGCATGCTTACATACACACATACATACATGCATGCATGCATGCATACATATACACACACACATACATACATACATACATACACAAATCACAAATAAATACATACATACCTATGTACGTACGTACGTGCGTGCGTCCATGAATGCATGCATGCATACATACATACATACACACATACATACATACATACCTACCTACCTACGTACGCACGTACCTACATGCATGCATGCAGGCATACATACATACATACATATCTACATACATATCTACATACATTACATACATTACACACATTACATACATTACATGCATTACATACATTAGATGCAGTACATACATAACAAAAAGTACATACATTACATACATGACACACATGACATACATCACATCCATCCATCCATCCATGCATGCATACACACATGCATACATACATTACAAAACATACATAACATACATAGCAGACATACCATACATACATACAGACAGACAGACAGACAGGCAGGCAGGCAGAAAGGCAGGCCAACAGACAGACAGACAGACAGACAGACAGACAGACAGACAGACCGACAGACAGACAGACAGACAGACAGACAGACAGAACGACAGACAGACAGACAGACAGACAGACAGACACAGAGAGAGAGAGAGAGAGAGACAGAGAGAGAGAGAGAGACAGAGAGAGAGACAGAGAGAGAGACAGAGAGAGAGAGAGAGAGACAGAGAGAGAGAGAGAGACAGAGAGAGAGAGAGAGACAGGGAGAGACAGAGAGAGACAGGGAGAGACAGAGAGAGACAGGGAGAGACAGAGAGAGAGACAGGGAGAGACA